AAATCAGCAATTTTAAGGCGACAACCTTCGCCTATGAGGATATTCTCTGGCTTAAGGTCTCGATGAATCACACCTTGAGAATGTATATATTCCATACCCCGAGCAATGTCAAGGGCAAAAGTTAAAAGCTTTTGTAGAGAAATAGTTTGGTGCTCCAACTTATGCAAATATGCCCTCAAGGAACCTTCCGAAAGATATTCTGTGATGATACAATAAACAGGTGGCTTTCTGCACGCTGCTGAGAACTGTACTCACATCAAAACACACCAGGAAACAGGTACAGATCAGCATCCTCGTAAATAATCCCGACATCATACTATGAACACAATTAAACCCAAATAAATGAGAAAAGATGAATATGAACTGGTAGTATGCATACTTTTAAAACTTGATAATTCAACATGATTAAAGGTTCAAATTGAACATGGTAATCAGAGCAGAACAACAGATACACTTACCTTACTCAAAAGGCATTGAAGACAGCATCAGGACTATGCATTTATACTTTGTAAATAGCATATACAAAATAAGAAACAAAATGCCATCACCTTTATAACATTTTGATGGTGAAGACGAGATAAGAGAGTAACTTCTCTAACGAACTGTTTTTCTAATCGAGAAGCCAAATCTCCACTTTCGTCGTCTTCGGGTTCCATAATGAGTTTAACTGCAACTGATTCATCCTTGTATACACCATGGTAAAGTCGGCTATGTGCTCCATGAGCAAACTTTAGGCCAAAAAACAGCTGAGACATGTCAATATTCCACTCTTCGGCTGTTTCAACAGCAGTAATCTTGCTTCCACCATTATCCAAAAACTTGGTCCATGCTGCATCCTTGCTGTGCTTTGACTTCACCTTCTTACTTGGACTACGGGAAGGAAACTTTGAACTTGATTCCTTAGTCTCCGGAGAATCCTTGTTCAACTACTTCCCCGTAGTCCTATTTTCTCTCTGGGGATTCGGTGTGGAGAAACTCTTCTGATCATGTCTAGCTTCCCTGAAGGCCTCAGAAAGAAAAGTCACGGGCAATGGTGACGAAGATCTCTGCTTGTTCGTTATGGGGTGCCTCTGAACCTCTGAGGCAGGGCTTGATTTTTGCTCTGACTGAATGCCGATAGGAACATGACCTAATCTAGATGAATCCAAACGATGGCACACTGTGTGTGAAAACTTTGTCCTCCTAATCCAAGAATTACTATCTTCGCCCATCTTATTCTCAACTTTTCCTTTCTACAAAAACCTTTTTTATCAAGATCTTGTACTTACAAAACTGAAACTCCTCCACCCCTACCTGAGAAATCTCAAAACCAGGTTGAGACCCTTTGACCAGAATGAGGGGAGGAATAACCAAAAACCCGATCTTTACATTTGAAAAAAAGAGGGCAGGATTGGTTCCATTAAAAGCTGAAGACAGAGGCAAAACAAGATATTATTCAACAAAAGAACATGAGCATCCATAAACTCAACATCCAAGCACCCCCTTTAGCCAAAACCCACCTTCCGTAAAAGCCTGCAAAAAATCCACACAAATATCTCAACAAATCAATCCATCCATCCAAGAAAAAGGTAAAATGATCACAGAAAGCATGAAATATACAAAAAGTAAAAGAAAATAAGTCATTTGTGTTGATAACAAAGAAACAGCCTTGATTACCTCCCCAAGGGAAAATCCGTAAAAGAATCACAGCGATATGAAACTAATAGCAGATAAGGGTAAACGAGATTTAAGAAAAAGAAAAAGAAGAAAAGTTTAAGCAAAAGAAAGATATAGAATAATAATAAAGCATGCATTACCTGAAGGGCTTTCACCGAGGTGAGAAGATGAAATAGGTGCTAAAGCGGAAATGGAGTTTCTGTTTGCCTTTTTACGTTTGCAAGGATGGAGAGAAATGGTGCACCTAATACCATTTTTTTTTCCGTAAGGAAAGAGAAAGACAGGTGTAAACTACAGAGCATATCTTTCTTTTTTTTTCGTTAAATTTTCAATTTTAGAAATTAGAAGTAATATTTAGTAGGGTCATAGAAGGATCTTGTCATACGTTACGTAAGATACCCGGAGAAAATAGACCATAAATTTCATTTCAAGGTTGTAGTGTGTGTCTGTCGGTTTTACAATTCCAAACCTCATTCATCTCCTCCTTGTCACCGTCGAGGAATTATGACATCATAATTTTATAATTATTTGGTTTTTTACATAACACAAAAACATCAACCATTTCATGAATAAGAATGGTTTTGAATAGATGTGTTCTGAAAATATGAACAGTGATGCATGTGTGGAGAGACATAGTGTGATGGGTTAGGTTATAGTGGGGTGGTGGGGTGTGGGGACCACAGGAGAAAGTCAAAGAAGACTGAGAGGGACATAAATTTGTTTGTTCTGTTTTGGTTTTGGAATGAATGAGAATGAATGATGGAGAAGAGAAAGAGAGAAAAAATGGTTGAAATGTGGTGAGTGGAGGAATCCAAGTGTCACTGTTAAGGGAATTCGTACGGATGCGTGGTTACGTGTAAGCCTTTCCTATTTATTTTTAGCAACACTTCGCAGTTACTGTTGCTAAATTCACACTCCCATCTACTTTTTAGTATACTTAAGGCATCTAATGGAGCAAAGGTTTTAAGGTACGGTTCGCACGGATGCCTTAGACTGCATCTGCATCGTGCATCATGCACCATTTCAGTTTGCTTTCGAGTTCCAACCAAAAAATAATATCTCATTGATTCTCTCTTTCATTTCAGTTTAGGAAATACATATTCACAGGCCCAACTCATATTAAATTCATGCATCAATAAATTGCTTTGAATGGAATACGTTACCATAATAGATTCATTAAAAACAGTATAAAGAAATTTGTTATTAACTAAATTCATAAAGAGTTATCAGATTTTTATATCAAGTTGTATAGATTACAATGATTATTTTTAGGAAAATGTTAACAAGAATAATTTTAATAGTTTTTATTTAATAAAACGCTTCTTTTCAGTTTTTTTTTTTACATAGTGAATTTTAATATCTTTTTTTTAAATGTCAGCGGATAAACATACCTTGCATTGTAATATAATATGATTGTTGTAAATCTAGAATTTGATTTATATATTCAGTATTCATTTAAAACATTTTATATATTTTATACAGAGACTGGGTCACTTTAAATTGATTTAGTTCAAGAGGATACAACTGCAAATATGAAAGAATCAATGAGGACATGTTTGATTGATTTTTTTTTATTGATTTCGTTTTTCTGACCATAAAAAGAAATAATAAAGGAGTCCATCCTTTGTTTGGTTGATACAAAATGAAAAAAAAAAAACTCTGTAGGTGGGCCTTGCATACAAAAGCCCAAACAAATTTGGGGCAGATTCTTGCTGCAGACCCACAAATATTGGTATTCCAAGATGTGTAATCTATAACATATTTTTGTTTTTTGTATTTCAATGAATTTTTTATTTATTTCATTTGTCAGGTCATAAAAAATAATAAGAAGATCAGCTCTATTTGGTTGGTGCAATTTGTAAAACAAAGAAATACTGTGAAGTTGGGCCTGGCTTACAAAACCCACCAAAATTTGGGGCAGCTTCTTATTGCAGTCTCACAAATCTACGTATTCTCAAATGTATAATTTACAATATAATTGTTTGTATTTTAGATTTTATATTTTAAATAGAAAAATAAAAATATATTTTAAATCATATAATTCATAGTACATTTTTATTTGAAATACGTAATTATGATTTTTGTGTATTTTGAAATACAAAAAATTATATTTTAAATTATACATTTTAAAATATAAAATGAAAAATATATTCGAAATTTAATAATTTGAAACGAAAATTCATCAAACTAAATGGTTGCTCTAAAAATTCATAAAGTTTTATTTATTTATAGTTAAATTGAATTTTTTAGCCTATCTGTCCGAAGCACAATCAAATTAACAATAGTAGAGTTTTCCATTGCACTTTCATGTCAGAAAGCAACAATTAACAACAATATTTATTTAATAGAACTATTTCGAAAATAACAATCTAGAATTATACAAAGTCGTCTTAAAATATATTACTTTAGAAATATTATGAAAATATTTCTATAATAAGAAATTTTATTACAAAAATTTCTGGAATGTTTTTTTTCCGATAAATATTGCATCATTTGAAAACACCTATAGACACTTTAGTCATTTAACTATTTTTTAGCTGCAGATCAAAATCTTCAGCCACAAAAATAAAATGTCTTACATCACTCATGCAATTATTTTCTGCACCTCATCAAATTTCTTCGTGCACCCTACAATAAAATACTCAAATACTCTTAATTGCCACTGTTACAGCTCCCCATCGAAAATCTTATTTAAAAAATTGTTTTAGAAATTCTGTTTCAGAAAATTTCGTTCGAAATATATTATTTTGGAAATCTAAAAATCCTGTTTCGCTGGGAGTGACTTTTATGAGGGTAGAACGGCCATTAAAGTTGACGGGGTGCGGAAAGAAATTGTTTTCTTCGTGTGCAGGAAGCAATTGCCTATCATTTATCACTGAGCTCAAAGACCAAAACACAAGTAATGGGCCATTATTTAATAAACAAACCATAGTTTGGACAAATTTCACATGTCCCCACAAAAACAATCTCCACTTTGGTTTAGAAAATGATTTGGTTGAGTAACCCAAATTTCAACATCCTAGCTATGTTATTACATTTGTTTATACTTAGGATACTCTTATCCTGCTACTCGGGAAAGAAAAGGAGAAAGCAAAGGATTACAAGTCTGAAAGGGATTATTTTACTTAACTGCTACAATATACTGTAATCATATATCTCTTTGTTTTCATGCAATCATTTCAGATACTCTTATTACTTTATATGACTCTTTATATAAAACCAATTTAAAAAAGTTACTTTTGACACTTTTTCATGGAAAAAGCTTGACAGTTTACATGTGAAAAACATAAAAAATAAAAACCACGCAAGACAAACTGTTTTGTGTTGAAAATTAGTGTATGATATATGAACTTGAAGATTAGCTTTGAAATGCACACTCGTTTCCACCATTTATTTCGATGTACACGGGTATGGTACATTTACCGATCACTCATTATACCGACAAAGTAAAGGGTGGGAGAATGAATAAGAAAAGAAAACAAAAAGAAGAAAAAAGAAAGAAATGAAACTAAGGTTGTCTCTCTTTACAAATTAGACAACCTCAACAGCAGTGCAATGCATATTAGGAAGTTTGTCTAGCAGATCAACAGTCAACAAAGATGCCTTTTGCCTTGGCTTTGGTATTCTCTGAGAATTTCCCATTGAGAGTGAAGTTGTGGAAGTGTTCCTGTCACATGGACCTAACCACTTAGCTTGCATGTACCTATGCTTCCTCCATGGCCCCATGTGCATTTTCTTTTCCTTCATACACCTTTTCCCTGCCACACACACTGTCTTTATCAGGTTGCTCAATCTCTCCACCTTCCCCACAAACACCTCCGGCAGCTTCCCTACAAGTCTGTTATACTCTTCACTTCCCCTTGCTATCTCAAACTCTCCTCTGAAATTCAGCTCCACGATCACCCTCATCTCCCCCCTCTTTGTCTTCTCTATTACATCCAAAAAACTGTGTTCCCCTGCACATAGTTTTCACATCTTTTAATAATTTTATACAAGCAATTTGACACTGACAACGTAGATCCACTTGTGGGAATCAGCTGAATACTATCTTCCTTAACCAAGTGCCGACGAATCATAGTTTATTCTTCAGAATAATATTCTTACACAGTTTAATTACTATTTGAAAGGGACATTGTCCACATGGATAATATAGTTTAGTAAAAGGATCTTATCTTAAGAACCACCATCCAAGATCGCTTTTCACTTTTTTAAGAGATTAAAAGCGCTAATTAATTGGAATTAATGTATTCACCTGATGGGATTTCTGGTGAGCTTCTCCATTTTGTTTTGCAGACAGCACTGTTGTAACCTGCTTTCTGAAGCCGCCCAGAAACTTCTCTCATCAAGCAGTTTCTGCAAGTGGTGAGAGGTATCTGTCTTCCGCAACCGCACACCGTTTCTGCGCTGTGTATGTTCTGCAGCGCTTCTTTCGTCGCATTTCTTATCCCTGATTCCAAAGAACTTGTTCTGTACACATTCGCCTGCACAAAATTAAACCTACTGAGTCGAAAACGCCAAAAACAAACAACCTTATCACATCAACCATTTTATCCATCAAAATTTTTCCTCTGTCAACATCTCAAAACAAACATGCATCACTTGATCAAGGTAAATAAATGCATACAGAAGCTAAGACTTTTTTTTGCCTTTTTTTACAAGTACTTTAATTTTATTATTAATTTTCCACAACTAATTGACACTAGATCAAAAGATATCACATTACAAGGTGTCCACCAAATTAAAACTCTGTAAAGCCGTTGAGATGGTAGAGTAACTTTTTTACATAACCACAATGAAACTGAAAAAAAAACCTTTTGGATAAAACGAAAATTTTTCCATTAAAATAAAAAATTAACAGAATATACATTTACGTAGTACAGTAGAGCTGTACGTGTGGTATGAAATTAACTTAATCTAAAGAAGTCACGGCTGTGTTGATTATGCGTTTAACCTACCTGCAAAATCTGGTGTTGGTTGTCCCAGAAGGTTCTGTTTTGTTCGACGGTGTCTCGGTTATCCTCATCTTCGTCGAACTCGATTTCGTTGGGGTTCTGACAGTCGTCACTTGAGGCGCTGTGAGCCAACAACGTTTCTCCGTCATGGAGAAATTCGAATTCAACATCAGGGACACAAGTGTCACGGTGGTCGTGGAGGTGGTGGCTGGCCAGAAACCTGGTGACCCTTGCGGTGGCCATGGAGGATCCAGCCATGGTTATGGGATGTGTGTATGTGGCGTGCTGTGTATGAAGTTGGGTTATTTGACTTAGTTTTGGATGAAGGTTCTGAGAGGGGTTTTATACTAGGATTGGTGTTGGGAGTGGGCCCCAGCTAGTCTCTGCCCGCGGCGCACATGAATGTGATTAGGGTGGATTTTTGATGGTGAGGATTGGATTATTTGGATCTGACGAATGACGTAGATGGGTTGGGATGGGTTGATACAGCATGGATCCACGTCAGATCACTCAATAATTTCATTTTTCCAACTTATACCCTTTATCCTAATCATTCAGATATATACGAATATTCATTCATTTATTCTTCATCGTTTTTCTGCCATCTGCCATGCATTTTTTTATTGTTATCAAACTGCTAAATCATAACAAACAATACACTCTTCTAGGGATATCCTTCCATATTCCTTTGTATTCTCTCACTAAATTACATTCATAATCACTTCTCGTTTGAATATTCGGATATCAAATCAAATTACTATTACGTTATTTTATTATTCCCAGGATTATTTTATTCTATCCGCATGTTTTTTAATAAAACATACTTAAAGCACAATAATAAATTCATTTTATCAGACTTTAATATATAATATACGTTTTAATTAATTATATGTGTTATGCGTTTGCATGTTAATCCGAATACATATTGGGAGTTTAATGGATTTTATACAGTATTAATGCAAAAAAACAAAAGTTTACTTTAATTCAAATTTATTGTTACAAAATCAATAAATTTATAATTTACTAGGTTGTCACTGAGTGACGTCATTTTCTATTAATGCTTTTGAAAACTTGAATTAAATGATTGAATATTAAAAATATGTTGATGTGAATACTTTAAAAAGTGAATCGAAATTTGTGGATTATATTTGTACACTTTTCTTATTTTTACAAATTTAGAGAATAATCTAATTAGACCATGTAGCTTCTACTAAATGCTATTTATCTAAAAGTTGTTTTTCTATTATTTACATTAAACTTATTTAAAATTAACAAGTCGTCAAAGAATTTATACTTTAGTATTACAAAAATTATAATACATTAACAAAAAAACATTATAAACATAAATTGTGTGAAAGAAACTTCTCATTTGATAGTAATTTTAAAAAGTATTAAATAATACAACGTTTGACATGTATATAAATATATGATATGTCTTTAAAAGTAACATATGCATTAATAAGACTTCGAGTTAAACTTGTATAAGGATTATTTTTTATAAAGTGTTTAACTTTTCTATATACCTAATGTAAAATATAAATTACATTTAAATCTTTAATAATTTTTCCTTTTAGGTGAGTTCGTTTCATATTATATATTTTTCTTTAAGCAAAATATTTCCATCATAAACGGAATGATAACCTTATACCACCATTTTATCATAATTTTTAGACAAAATGTCAATATAATAAATTATCACATCTAGAATTCTTCATTCATGTATTTATACTTATTTAATTTGATGTTTAAAGGAACCAAACTGATCATAATAAATAAACACAATCTTTAATAATAAAAAAATTAAAACAATAATTGTATTTCTTTAAAAGATTCAACTTTTTCATCTTTATCAAATATAAGACTTTGACTCACGATTATATATAATATTTTGAATTTTTGAATATTTAATAAGTTTAATTTATTTTATGGGACGAGAGTTATGCTTAATAAAATGATAAATTTAATTTTATTAGTTTTAAGTGTCTTCTCTAAACACAATTTCAAAATCGTTTTTAATGTAATTTTACATTTATGTAAATTGTGAGTTTATTTTCTTTTTCTTTTAGAACACTTGCTCACTCTATGTCATTATTCGAACTAAAAGTGAAAATAACTTTTTTAAAAAAATATTTGTCTTAAATTAAAAAGAAAAATAATAAAATGTTTAACTAAAAATGATACGAAGATAAGAGAAATTGTACGTGTACCTCTCATCTGAACCCAATTTTTGGATCACCGAACAACGATCAGAAGATGGATTCAACATTGCAGAATCAGGAACGTCCATAGTAGATCTTATCCGATGCAATTATGGGTGGGGCCCATACGAAAGAGGAAGTATATTTGGTAAAGCGAGTCAAATACGCGGCGTCTTGTGAATGGTTTTCGGTCCAGACACTGCAAAAACAAAAAGATTCCCAATTCTTTTCTTTTCTTCTCTTCATCATAGTTAACAATTAATGACGATGATTAATGATCAATTGTGCGACATTGGAGACCCATCCAAGGCTGTGGTGGGACAAGTTTGAGGGCATCTCGGTAATTCTGCGTCCATTCTATAATTATTTTTATGCCCCACTCCCCAGTTGTACAACAGTTAAAAGTTCACCATTTGACAGATTTAACTAAATTTTTAAATCATATATCTCTAGAAGAAACAAAATTTAAAACACAATAATAAAAACATGACGAAAAAAGTTATTTAAATATTTTGTTATATATTATCATAGAAAAGACCTATAGTTAACTTATGTTTTCTATGTATACATCAACATTAGTATATCAATATTTCTTCTTATATTTTGAGTTACTTGTTTTTGGATCATGTTGTAAGTAAGAATAGGATTTTTTTTTTTATTTTTATTATTGCATTTGTGATTTGATAACAAAAATAACGTGGTTGAATAAACATGTGGATTTAGTTGTTTAATAGGATTTTTTATAAATAAATTATGATAATTCTAACTTTTTTTAAGGGTGTTTTCTCTATAGTTAAAGATTTTAAATTAAGGCAAACAAATTTGGATAATCCCAGAATAGAAGTAAAAGTGTCTTCAATTGCTAATTCAGCCTTACGATTGGATCCCATGTCAAAATATATAATGTGGTATTTGATCATATCTATGAGTTGGGAGAAATTTTTGTGATCATTGTTTGAATCATGATGCTACGTTGTCTTGAATGATGAAAATGAATGTTGAGATATTTCTATAAAAAAAAATTGTTTTTATAATTTTAAAGGAAAACAGGGTCAATATGTCTATCATTGTTCTCATATCAAAATCAAAACTATATTTATGTCTGGTTAATGTAATTTTTTTGTATTAAAATTGAGATAAATTCAAAAGATATAAATGATATTTTACTTAAACAATTTTATTTTTGTTCAGAAATTTTCTTAAAAGAATTAAATTGTAGTATTTGCTTACACAGTTTAAATGATTTTATTACATACATTTTTTTATTTTTAATAATTTAAATATGTTTTAAATACTAGGTTAATGTGATTAGTGACTTGTACTAGTAATTTGTTACGAAATTTTGTATAAAATTGGATTCGAATAATACGAGAGATAATGATCTAAGTGTAATAATGCTAGATGAAATGTAATCCATTTGAATATCATATATCATTAGAAAAATATTTAAATTTTATAGTTTTGAAGTTATGTAGATAAAAATATTAGAGATGAGAAGCTTATGAAATTCTTACGTTCTTACTTATTAGATTAGGTATCATATAAGTTGTCTTGATTTTTTTTGTGAAGTATAACATATTTTTATTGAGTTACGTGTTAATTACGAGTTGATATATATATTATATGTTTAAAAATGTCATCGAGTCACGAGTTTGATAGTAATTTATGAAATTAATAAAAACTTTATCCTTTTTTATTTTTCTTGGTATTTTTAACTTCTCCTAAAGTTTTTTGGAGTTAATTTTTATTCTTTTCTCAACCAGAATGTCAGTGAAACAATAATAAGGAAAATAATCATATCTAATTATCAAATTTTCATTATAGTAATTGTTTTTCTTTTTTTTAGGTGGGGTTTTTGTTATCATCTGTAAAGTGAGCAGATGAAATATATTTATATACTGTTACCATTTTCTAATCAATAGCATAAACAATACGATAGTAAACTTCTCTAACTCTTTTTAATCAAGTCCATTCATTGCAGACAAATATAATTAATTTAATTTATAAATGTATATGGTAACAATTTTGAACAATATAGTGCTTATAATTGTCAGTTATTACTGAGTTTTTTTTTTCTTCAACAGGTGTTTCTTTTCCTATATTTATTTAAACATTTTACCACTTTTAATTTATTTATTTTTAGTTTTAACTTAAATATCACTAACTTTTTACATAGTAAACTATCAGTAATTAAAAACATCATCTATATGATAATTTAATTTTTTACTGTAAATATTAAATATGATTTATATGTTTATAAACAGAAACATAAAAATTAAAATAAATTAATAAATAGCCGTTTTCTCTCTCGACAGACATGAATTAAACATGTTAAATAATAATAATAAGAAAACAAGGAGGTGTGGGTTGTCTGTTACAATATTATTAACAACAAAAAAATTGATTGATTTGTGTTGTTGAAACCATTGTCTATATTAGAATTCCAAACTTATATATATATACACCATGGTCAATAAAAGAATACCTAATAAATAAATATACAAAACGTCAAAATAGAAAATTATTGCTATTTATGTACTCTTTTTAAGTTTCTATCTCTTTCTCACCCATTTGTCTTTCATCTTCAATGCCAATAATTGCTTTAAAAAATTGCCCTATACTTGACTAAAACTATACATATCAGAACCAATTTTTATCAATTATAAAAACAGCTTAATTGTACTTTTGGGAGAGGTCTTAGTGTCAAGTACTTTTAAATAGCTATCTAATCTAACCCTACGAGAAAAGTTATCTTCAATCCATGTTTTAAATATTTATTTTAAAAATAATTTAACCAAATCACCACTATCAGTCTTCATTTTTTTTATAAGTTTGAAAATTGGTTTCTTAAATTTAGTTAAAGTCAATTTTCTTAAAATGAATCAGTTGCTGAGTGGTTAAAAAATATTATAATTATTATAAAAACATACTACGTGAGAAATTGATCTCAATTATTATGAAAACAAATTTAAACGTATTAAAAAAACTTTATCTCCAATTAGATTTAAAAATAATAATTTTTGTTTCTGAAATTTAAAAAATTATTTTCAGAATAAATTGAATTGAATTTTTAGGTATAAGATGGCATTAAGAAATGAATGGAATTAGGTATATATATACATATCATAGAGGT